ATGGGTGGAACAACAAATGCAAAGGCTGACCCTATTCACGTGAATAGTGGCAGCTATTGCTTGCCCTTGCCTTAGACTTAGCCTTTGTGGGTGGAGATGCTCTAACATTCAAAATCAGATAATTGATCTTATTTTTATGAAACATAACTATCCATTATTTTTTTTAATTTTAAAATAAATTTAAATTTTTTTTAAAAAAGTCTCTTAGGAAGGTGCATGCCCAAGGTCCCGGGCAAGTGGTGATTAAAGATTAAAGGATGTTTCCATCTGGACCACTAATTATTATTAATATTTTATCCAATTAAGCAGTCCCACTAGCCTGAATTTTATCGAAAGTCGCATGTCTTTCATTCGCATGGCTTAAGTCTTCTTAATTATCATTATCGTTTTCGAAAATTGAACGTGCTTGAATATTAAAAATATGCATCCCCCACTAACCTTAATTTTAACAAACTATAATAGATCCAATCGAAAAACAAAAAATAGTGACGTAGATAAAGGTGACGTTGGCAGTAACAAAGTCGATGGCGGTGGACGACTTTGCTACTTGTGCAAGTCGTAGAGTTGGGAATAAATAAGTCCGATTGGATCTGAACAGAATCAAAATAATTTATTTGAAAATGTAGCCAGCATTTTCGTTCGGAGCGAGTCATAGAGTTGTGTTATTTCCACCTTATTTTCTCATTCTACCTTTCATCACATGTTTGTTCAGCAGTCAACTAAGTACTTGTACTGTTCAAAATTTTTGTACTGTGGCTCTATTGTTAGGTTTGCTCTCAGAAAATTTGGCACTAGTAATGCTAAGGAGGCCACCTTTTTTGTACCACATTTATGTGGCAGGTTATGTGGATAAGTCACATCATCTAAAATATGAATTATAGTTTTTTTTTTAATTTTTCAATCAGTGCTTAAAAAGAAGAAACTACAGTAAAGTGATTAAGAACAATTATCCATGCACCCAAGGTCTTGTGTTTGAATCATTCTCCCTTAATATCGCCCGTGTAAAAAAGATTAGAGTTTAAAACGAAACAAATTAAAGCAAAACCCTAGTACAGCCGCATCGACCCCAACCTTCCACCCCCACAACAGCTATCTCTCTCTCTTCCCTTTAGCCATGGAAGATTACGTTTGTTTTTATATATATATATAAAATAAAAATAAAAGAAGATTTTTTTTTGGGCTTGTGATACACGCATAATTACCACTTTTGTCTCTAAAATTACATTAGCTAGTAATCAATTTAATTTAAGTTAATTTTCTATTTTGTGTCTTAATTATTTTACTGGTTTTCACTAGACTTTTAAGTTCGGCTCACAGTTTTACTATTCATTGGGTTTCACATTATATGCAGATGTCTCTTTTCTTAAGATGTAGCGCAGCTCATAATTGCGCATGACATTGGACAAATATGCCAATCCAACAATAATGACAACCAAAAAAAAAATTAATAATGAAAACAAAAAATAATTGGGTAGATTGCAGCAAAGAGATGATGGAGAATAAAAGGCTTATTCAAAACGCCAAAGGGACTTATTCACTTCCCCAAAACAAAACGAAAGAGGAGAGGAGAGGAGATGAGCGGGGAGGAGGAGTAGTGATTCTTCTTCTTCATCCCCTTCTATTGAGTTTTTTAATTTGGGAGAGAGGGAGTAAGAGTGCGGCTAAGGTTAGGAATGATTGCTAGTGGTTGCAGCAAGAAATTAAGCAGAATCACAACTCACAACTCAAATGGTACGTCAATTGGAAATCAAATCAGCAAGTGGCAGGGCAATCTTCAATGGTTAAAAATGTGTCGAAATTGGTCCATAGAAATTTCTGAATGGGTTTGAAATATGTTTGGAATCTATATAGGGATCAATGGTGAACAGTTTTATATCTTTTGAGATGAATTGTGTAGAGAGAATTTCTTTAACTTTCAATCTTCTTTATACACTGCCATTTAACCTAATTTAAGTATGGATCCTTCTTCTTGGCGGTTAGGATTACTTAGAGTGTAAATCTTCCAATGGCTAACTTGTTCGAAGTTCAGGAAAATTTTGGTCAAATCAAATTTCGTTTGGGAGTGTTTCTGTAGAAGTGATTTTAGCATAATCACTTTATGTTAGTAGCGCGTTTACATAGAATCAATTTATTGCTTGGCTACCAACATAGAAGTGCTTTTATACTGTACAACATAGATTGTAGGGATAGGTTTTTTAGCCATATTGTAAAAATAATAGGCAACATAGATTGTAGTGATAGGTTTTTTTGGCCATATTGTAACAATAATAGGCATAATATTGGTATAGTTAAACTTTCATTAAAAGACCTCGAGTGATTCCCGTTCTCCTTGAAATTGCATAAAATTTTAAAATGATGGAATTTAGATCTCCATGGTTTAAATTTCTGGCACTAAATAATTTCAATGTTTGGATTTATGCATGTCGAATTTTGTAATTGACAAAAATTACAGGGAAAACGAATTCATTCTCAATAGAAATTGTGAAATGATGCCTCTTTTGGAGGGATTTAAACTTTGAAATCTTTATCCCCAATTTCCACAATTTTTTCCGCAAGTTATTTAATAAATTTCGTGCTTTAAGTTGCCAAACAATGGAAATATCAAATTCTCCTCTTCAATTCTTGACTTTTAACTAATCCCAATTATTTTCCTCTATCCAGGGGGTAAGTGATTTAAATACCTATTTG